ACTTTCTATGAACTTATTAATCCACCGAAGTATCCATCAGAAACATTAAACCCATATGGATACAGCTGAAGTTAGTCAAAAAGTGAGATTTAAGTATATACGGATGTGATTCTCCCCCTTTCCCCTATCAGATATTTCATCTATCTCTTAAGGTACTTTTATATATTAAATATATTTTACATTTTGTTTATACTATGGAAACCAAAATAAGCACAGTGGTAAAATAAAAGAAGAAATTAATCAAGTACTTTTGCAACACAAGCTATGAATCCAAACATGGCAAATTTCAGAATGCAAACAACAAATTTCTCCAAATAGATATGCTCTTCTTATATCCATGTGTAATCGGGGCAGGCGGGGGCACATCAAGGGAGTTGAATTGGTTGGTGGGTCTTAGGGAGTCTAGGTACTTCATAGAGCCAATAAGTAGCTGCCCAGAGCTGAGCCCTAAGCGGTCCAGGATGTAAACTGGGAAGATTATCCACCTACTCAATGGCTAAGTCCAAGGAGTAAGATGGGAAGTTAGAGATGAAGTACAAAGGCGGTAATGAATGAGGAGTGTTGAAACGAGAAGGAGAAAGAAAGGAAGAGTGGATGTACCCCATATCACAGCTTAACCTGAAGTGACGAAGAAAGTTTTGATATTATTCTTGAGTCCACATTTCCTCCATCTTGAACCTACTTAATTTCTAGGCAATGCAGCTAATTAGCGTCTACATTCTAGCTCTTCTATCTATCGCATTGATTGTACAGTCAACTTTAGACTTAATCGGCAGCCACTTCAATGGTGTGTTGTCTAGCATCCCTGTATAGTGGCTTTTGTGTCTTCTTTCTCACGTAATGGGACCCGTGCAGCATCCATCTCAAATGCCTGTCCTCCGGTGATCCGCCCACCTCTGCACCCCAAACTGCTGAGATTACAGGCATGAGCCACCGTGCCCGGCAAACTTCTGTTGTGTATATGTTATGCAGTCTGATGTATTTTGTTAGAGCATCCTGAACAGACTAAGACAGGTAGCATCCCCAAGTAATGTAAGAATTACAATATCACAATGAGGGGGTTCTTATTTACTTTTTTTTTTCCTCCTTGCTTCAAATGCCACCGTCATTGCTTTTCCCTTTTACATTTCACCTCCAATCAGCGGCCAATGCAGGTGAATTTTCTTTCATATCATCTCCTGCTTTTCATTTTCTGCCATTCTAATTTAAATCCGTATCATTTTTTACCTAGCTAATTTTTAGAGCTTCCTTCTAATTTTTCTCCTTGTCATGTCTCCTAATTAAACATTCTATTTTACACAAACATATTAACGTAACCTTCACAGTGACCCAATGGAGGTAAGAATCATTATTCCCATTTTCCAGATAAGAAAGCTAAGAATTGAAAAGGTTTTAAAAATACTGTACAAAATCACACAATTAATAAAGTGTAACACAGAAACTTAACTCCCAGCCAGGTATGGTGGCTGACGCCCACAATCCAAGCACTTTGGGAGACCGAGGTGGGTGGATCACAAGGTCAGGAGATCGAGACCATCCTAACACATCAAAACCCTGTCTCTACTAAAAATACAAAAAATTAGCTGGGCGTGGTGCCACATGCCAGTAGTCCCAGATACTCAGGAGGCTGAGGCAGAAGAAACACTTGAACCTGGGAGGTGGAGGTTGCAGTGAGTTAAGATGATGCCACTGCACTCCAGCCTTGGTGAAAGAGCGAGACTATGTCTCAAAAAAAAAAGAAAGAAAGAAAGAAAAAGAAATTTAACTCCCTCCCTGACTTCACCACTATGCAACCTATGCATATAACAAAATTATACTTATACCTCACAAATTTATACCAATAAAAATTAAAATTAAGAAAAAGAATCCTGGGTGTGGCGGCTCGCACCTATAATCTCAGCACTTTGGGAGGCTAAGGCAGGCAGATCACCTGAGGCCAGGAGTTCAAGGCCAATCTGACCAACATGGTGAAACCCTGTCTCTACTAAAAAATACAAAAATTAGTGGGTGTGGTGGCACATGATTGTAGTCCTGGCTACTCAGGAGGCTGAGTCATGAGAATCACGTGAACCTCAGAGGTGGAGGTTGCAATGAGCTGAGATTGTGCCACTGCTCTCCAGACTGGGTGACAGAGTGAGACTCTATGTTAAAAAAAAAAAAAAAAAAAAAAAGCAAAAGAAAAAAGAAATTTAACTCCCTGTCTGAGCAAATTTATATCCTCTTTCCCTACATTAGACTGTCTCCCAGTTAGACACAGCTGTTTAAGGGAAATTGGTCTGAGTGGGAATATAAGGTGTTCATGAGCAAATGACAAAGAAACTAAAACAAGTGACAATGGGAACAAAGAACAGAAGGAGGGAAATGTCAAAGATGAGTAGAAATTTTGAGACTGGGTCACTGAAAGTTTCTGTAACTTGCTCTCAGGCCCCCATCTACATCTGGCTGTCTTCCTCTTCACTTTGAAAGGTTGTATGATGAGGTGGTTTCAGGGTGAGGGCCCCAGAGCCAGCCTGCATTCATTCCCACCCTGGCACTACACCTCACTAGCTGTGTGCCCTTCAGAGAGCATAGAACTCCATGTGTCTTACCTCAATGCAACAGGGGCAACAATTTTAAAATATGTGTTTAAAAGCAAGAATGGGGACTACTAACGCATTTAAAACACTTAGCACACAGCACATTATGTCCTTGATTTTTGTAAAATATTATTGAGAACTTCCACACATTTTCCTTGCTTTGAAATATCTTAAAGTCATCTGCAATTATGTAGTATAGATTTAATTATCTGCATTTCCTTTAAATTTGTAAATGAAACTTAAAATGAAGTTTTTTAAGTAATCAGAGGCCAGAGCCGAAGCTGGGCTGGCTTGTTTGGTATAACATCCAGCAAGTTCTGACATGCTCCTGATTCTAATGAGGTCAAGGAGAGCGTTTTAAACACAGCGTCTTTCATTGTGGGTAAGTAAAATAACTGATCACCTTTGCACAATGAGAAACATGATTGGTTTCTTTTCATCATGGAGGGGATTTAATGAAAATCCAATCTATAGATTCACTCCTCTTCCCATCAGTGGTCTCTTACAGAGCTCTCACTAAAATGAAAGGTGAAACATGGTTGCCTTGGCAAAAGCCAGGTGGTCAAAATGCCTTCCCTGTAAAATCGTTGCCATTTTAGTGTCTGTCATTAAGAAGAGCTCACTTAGACCAAAATTTTATGTCAATGTCGAATTGGGTACTTTTTTCCCACCTTTTAAATAGTAATTAATCAAAATGACCAGGGGATGGCCTGGATGTAAACAGCTTGCAGTGAGTGAGTCTCTTAGTTCCCACTGAGCCCTCCCACAACTCCAAAGGAAAGTTCACTCTCTTTGGAGGTCTATATACTTTCATCGGCTTGTACTATGACTGTACTTCAGTGATCTCAGCCCCTGACCTGCTCCTCACTTCTCCCCGAACACTGTAGGTGAGTGTCACTATGTGTATGTCAACGCCCATGCTCAAAGTGTGCTGGCCAGAGAGGGGCCTGCATTCCAGCCTCGTCCTTGATAATCCTTAAAGGAATGTTCTCAGGCTAATGAAGGGAAGAAAGGAATGATTATGCCTCAAGCATTCAGGCAAAACATTCCAAAGCACTCAGTGTCCCGTTTAATCCTCATGCTGGCTATGTGGCTTTTTTATTTATTTATTTTTAACCCATCCTGCTGATGAAGGAGAAACAAGGGAGTCTTTATTTTGACTCCTCAACAGGTAAGAAGAACTGTTAAAATGGATGAGATGATAAATGGCACGAGATGTCAGCTAGAGAGGGAAAAATCTGAGCTTTGTCTTGGCAGCAATTTCTCTGGTCTGTGTGCCTACGGGTGATCTAGGGATGGAGCGTGAAGGCAGGGAATGGGAGGAATGATTCTCACAGATCTGGTTTCCCATTTCCCCCTTTCTGAGTTGTTGGAGAGGCAAACTCACTTCCAAAAATTCCCTCCCTCCCTTTATCACCAGTCTCTTCATTGATCTGGATTATAAACAGACATCATTTCCCACACATCAGCTGTGCAGTCAAATACGTATATTTCAGGCGTTCTCTCTCAACAGTAATAGGCTTTACTTTCTTCTCAATGTTATGTAATCTTATTATTATCAACATCCTTCACCCATTCATTCTTTCGAGAAAATGTTTAGTGGCCCATTGTTGCACACCGGTTCTTCCTCCCACCTCCCGTGTTTTCCCCCTTGTATCCTGCATGATTGGGAGGAGGCACTTGGAAAAGACACCCGGAGAGCAGAGACCAGGAGATAAGCACATTGTCACTTCCACGGTGAATTCTAAAGCCTCATCCAAAGAACTCAAGTTTACAGCAAGGATCACCTCACCCTGGGAATGTTTGCTTTACGGGACCGAATCAAACACACTTCCTTCAAAGTCAGATCGTTCTTTCTTTGAAAACTTGGGTTCCTGTTGTTGCAGCCTGCCTATGATAGTTTTAAAAGAAAGAAAAAAAAATCAGGGGGAAGTTTGCTATAGTAATGCCTGATGCCTCCAGTAAACACGGAAGCTCACAGAACGGTGACAATTCAAAGCAAGCTGCTTAGGGATGAATGGGTCTGCACCCCACACGAACACATCGAGAAAACAGACAACAATTTCTTTGAAGCATCTCATGGAAATCACAATTACTTTGAGAGGAAAGAGCACGCTTCAGAGACTGCGTTAATCAGGGTTTACATCTGAGGTCACCGTGGGACTCTCCTTCCCTGGCAGAGCCCAGCAAAGGGTCTTATTAATTACAAGGCACCATTACCTCTGACATGAAAGGAATCATTTTTCAAAATTCAGTGCTCTGGTGAAAAGAGTGTTCCTGCCCTTCTAGGAAAAAATGGTCAGTGCCTCAGAGCTCAAGTGACTGTTCAGTCTCATGCTACCAACAGCCATTTTCACCAGCAGAGGCTAAGTATGCTTTCCCAGGTAATAAACTAGGTCTGTAGAAAACTCCAGAGTTTCTTACCATTGCGACCAATCTTCCTTCCCTCCCTGCGGAGTCCAGCAGCCAGGAGCTGTCACTGATGTGCTGCTTCCCACAGCCTCTGGCGCCTTTGGAGGCAGAGAATGTTTCATGTGGCACAAACGTATCACCACCGATTACATTTCAGTCCTTCAGTTGCTGGCCTCAATGCTTTGGAAATCAGCCAAACAGAGCATGAAGAGAGAAAGGGCTGCAGCTTGCAATTTCAGAGTTTCCCCTAGAAAGTGCTCTTAAAAACATAGGCCCCTCATTTAGCATTTCAGCAAGCACCGAGGACTGCTATGTTCAATTATGTCTCTCCCTCTTTTCCTTTTAAACTGAGAGTTGTGTTGCCTGTGGAATGAAACGGTAGTAGGAGCTCACGCTGACCCAGGGGAGGCAGGCACTGAGCCGGCGTCCACGCACCTCCAACCTGAGTCGAAACAGCTGCGATTCCAATCAGAGTCAAGGAGAATCCTGCCTAGACAAAGACGAACGCGAGGGGCAATGCTGACGAGCACTCCATGGTTACGGCAGCTCGGTCATCGGTGGGTGTTTGCTAAGTCCAGGCTAAATCATGTGGCGTGGTGCTGTCAAATCTGAACAGGTGGAAAGGAAAGTTCTTTGCTCATCAAGGCAGTATAAGATGCACGGCTTTAGCTTGAAGAGTATAATCAAAGTTCTTCAAATGCAGGGACCCTTTCTTCCAAGACGCTTTAAATCTAGCCTGTGCTGCTCAGTTATATTAAACTATGGGGCTCTTTGCTTTTCCCGTGCTTTGGCCACATTTTATCGTTTAAAAATTTATCTCAGAAGAATTCAATCACCCAGCTAGCACGTTGCAGCAGCTGAACCTCATCCAAAGCTCAGACCGGGGCTCTTTAGGATAATAGCACACATAAGCAAAAACATCTGTTGATTGCCAAACTGCTGACTTGCCTTTCCTTCACCACCTGTAAATTTCAGGAGGGCAGGTACCATGCTGCTTTTGTTCACCTCTGTATCCCCAGGACAGAATCTATTGCAATGTAGAATATTTACTAGCTGAGTTAATCAATTGACTTCCCATCACTGTTGGAAGTGTTGGCAGAGTCCCATGCATTGGTAAAATTCCTTTTGCTTGGAGCTGATTTGTTCTGGGCTTGGGTTAGGTTCCTTTTGTTATTGCTTTTCCTCTTATCCAAAAGGAAAAATTCACACCTTCTCGTATGATTAGGCCTAGAAAGGGCAGGAATAACTTCCAGCAAAACTAAATGCTTGTTCTAGAGCAAATTCATCCCCAGGAATACAATTCATGCTGATGGCCAAGGGTTCTGATTTCTTAGAAGAATCCATGGCATTTATCAGGCCTAATGGCATCAAGGAGCAGCTGTGAATCAACAAAGCTCCAGAAAAATACATACATTTTCACTCCCTCTGGGAAAAGGTCTTTTAGAATAGAGAAGCCAATATGGCAGGCAAATAGGTGTCCACATGAGAGACCAGGATCTGGCCAAGATGTAGCTCAATGCTTCACTGAGTAGGTTCTAGACACCCCTTCAAGGGGTAGAATGGATTCAGTAAGTCAATGCTCTGAAACTCTGGAGTGTCTAACACTTGTCCCCACACTGGGATGCGCCAACATTGCCTCATGTGGATTCTCTGTTCATCATCCTATCCTGAGGGCCTTTCTCTGGAAACACTCAGCGGCTCTCCCTTAGACCACGCCCACTCACGTCTCCTCTCGTGGGAAGAGGTGGCAACATCTACTGCAGTGTGGCCAGGACAACAAGCATGGTCCACGTTTTTCCGTTAGCCTTTATCTGTGAGTAACAGAAATCCCCTGCTACAGCAGTGAGGCGTCTCCCTTTCTTCCGTCTGTTCTTCAAGGTGCCATGTTGGTCTTTCATCCTTCAGGAAGATGTCCCTGATAGCTTCAGCTCACAGCAATTTATCTTCTTCATGACTGTCACTCAACAGCGCCCAGCCATTTAACATTGAATCATGCATTGTTTTCAGACACTTCTTGGATGATGTTGGAGTTTTTATTTTTTATTTTTTGGTCTCTTACCATCTAGCCAGATTGTAAACATATGTTTCCTGTATCAAATCCTTTTTTGTTGTTGTTTTGAGAGGAGAATTGCTCTGTTGCCCAGACGGGAGTGCAATGGCACGATCTTGGCTCACTACAACCTCCGCCTCCCGGGTTCAAGTGATTCTCCCATCTCAGACTCCCGAGCAGCTGGGATGACAGGCACACACTGCCACGTCCAGATAATTTTTTTGTATTTTAGTAGAGACGGTGTTTCACTGTGTTGCCCAGGCTGTCTCAAACTCCTGAGCTCAGGTGACCCGCAGGCCTCAGCGCCCCAAAGTGCTGGGGTTACAGGCGTGAGCCACTGTGCCCGTTTCAAATTCTTGAATAGCATCCTACTGATTGCAAGGTAAAAACCTGAGACCACTCCCCATGGCATTTAAGGTCCTTAAGGAAAGACCTCCTTAGAGCTTCGTCTCGCACCATGCTCCGACTAGTTCCGTATGTTTTAGTCACAAACAGCTCCTCGCAGTATCGTCAAATCCCTGTAATCACCAATACTTCCAGGCCTTTGCACATAAGACACTCCATTCCAGGAATGGTTCTTATTGTTGTCTGAGGACTCAGCTTTAGCTCAGTCCTCAACGTCTGTGCCATCTCCCTCAATCCTCCCAACAGGACTGAATGGCAAGGCAAAGGTAGGAGGTGCGTTAATCACAGGGTTGTACCATCCTCCTGTCTGTGTCAGGCCTCTGCATAAACCTAAGTAGATTTACAATCAGTGCTTTTTCTGCAATGAAAAATGCTCATACATATAGTGTACTGGCCCTTGGGCCTTCTTTCTCAAATAAGTTAACCTAGTAGAAACAACAAGGGACTATGGAGAAGGATTTCTCAATAATCATCTGCCTGTTGACTCAACCAGGAGTCTACTGATGTGAAAAATTGTTTGGCACTTTTATTACCAAAATTGTTACACTTCTCAGCTTGATCTGGTCAGAACATGCTGAACCATGACCACCTCATTGATATCCAGCCTCACAAACCATCAGCAAGAAAGTTAGGAAGTTCTGGAAAGTGAGAAGCAGAAAAAAAACTTGGACTTTTCTATAAAATAGTAGTTCATATACCTTCATTTAAAAATGTGACCATCCAGGCGGGGCATGGTGACTCACACCTATAATTCTAGCACTTTGGGAAGCCGAGGTGGGTGGATCGCTTCAGCCCAGGAGTTTGAGACCAGCCTGGGCAACATGGTGAAACTCCATCTCTACCAAAAATACAAAAATTAACTTGGTGTAACGACGTGTGTCTGTAGTCCCAGCTACTTGGGAGGCTGAGGTGGACAGATGGCTTGAGCCCGGGAGGCGGAGGTTGCACTGAGCTGAGATTGCTCCGCTGCATTCCAACCTGGGCAACAGAGCCAGACCCTGCCTCCCACCCCTGATGCGCACATCCGGAAAGCCAGTCCTTCCCTCTGCACCCCCTAGGTCCTACCTTCCCACACACCCCGAACAACTAGAATATCTAGGAACAGCAATGAAAAGTCTGAGGCCAAGCAGGCAAAATGCCTGGCGGAAAGCTATTCCCACTCTTCTGAACATGGGAAGATGCAAGGAAAGAGAAATCCTATTACACACTGGACGACTGTCTGAATGGTTGTGGCCCCTCCAAATTCATATGTTGAAACCTAATCCCCAACTTGATGGTGTTAGGAGGTAGGGTTTTTAGAAGGTGACAAGATCAAGAGGGAGGAGCCCTCATGAACGGGATCGGTACTCTTATAAAAGACGACCCAGGGAGACTGCCTTCTCCCAAAGCAGAAGCAGGAGGCAGGTCCTCCAGGCATCAACTCTGCCAGTGACTTGATCTGGGACTTTCTAGCCTCCAGAATCATAAGAAATAAGTTTCTTTGTTTGTAAGCTACCTAGTTTATGGTAATTTTGTTATAGCAGCCTAAATAAACTAAGACAAATTGCATAGAAGTTGTATCTATTTCATCTAGTGGTTATTTTTACTTTTCTTTTTTCTTTGCAGGGGGCGGTGGTGGGGGGGCGGGACAGAGTGTCTCTCTGTAGGCCAGGCTAGAGTGCAATGGCACAGTCTTGGTTCACTGCAACCTCCGCCTTCCAGGTTCAAGCGATTCTCCTGCCTCAGTCTCCCAATTAGCCGGGAACACAGGTGCCTGCCACCACACCCAGATAATTTTTGTATTTTTAGTAGAGACAGGGTCTCACTATGTTGGCCAGGCTGGTCTCAAACTCCTGACCTTGTGATCCTCCTGCCTCGGCCTCCCAAAGTGCTGGGATTACAGGCGTGAACCACTGAGCCCGGACTCATTTAGTGTTTTCTTATGAGCAAATCCATTTTATCTTTTTTAATGAAGTTGTTATTGTACCACTGAAAGATCTTTGAAACGTCTTTGAGAAGCCCAACAAGACATCAGTACCTCCCTCCTCACAGTATTCTTTATTCACCTAGTCAATATTTTCAAATGCTGGTCCTGCATTAATGAAAAGTGCACCTGGGATTCCAAAAAGGTAGTCACTAGAGATTGGAAGCTCCCTATGGCCACTGTGACCCCCATTCCCTACTAACACAATTTAGGGCTCCCCTTTAGTGTAGAATTTAGAGAAAACAAAGAGACATAGACTCCTAATTATCCCATAGCAGCAGAATGGCACCTGTTCACCCCCTCCCATAAAAGAACCAAGAAAAGTTGCAAACTGCTCGTCTTCCTTTCTCCCATCACCAGTTTTAACCCCTAGTCCCATCTTCCCGTACTGCCTATGTATTCTGCCTGGCCATTGGATACGTTTAGCCTCATCCACACCTTTTCAGCCTCACAGTTGCAGCTAATTCACGCAGCAGGGCTAGGAGACCTCACCATGCACTGGTGATTAGAGCCCCTTTGAAAGAGTCACACAGGCAAGATGATACTTTCAAATTTAACCTCAGGCCGGGCACGATGGCTCAGGCCTGTAATCCCAGTACTTTGGGTGACCAAGGTGGGCAGATCACTTGAGGTCAGGAGTTCGAGTCCAGCCTGGCCAGCATGGTGAGACCCCCACCCCCCCGCCGTCTCTACTAAAAGTACAAAAATATTAGCCAAGCATGGGACAGGCGCCTGTAATCCCAGCTACTCGGGAAGCTGAGGCAGGAAAATCACTTGAACCCAGGAGGCAGAGGTTGCAGTGAGCCAAGATCGCATCATTGCACTCCAGCCTGGGCAATAGAGCAAGACTCTGCAGACCTAAACAGTCAAGAATCATAAAGCATGTAGGGATGTCTTTCAGCTTCTAATAATATTTCAAAGGTTTCTGTTTCAACAGACTTAAATTGATGTTGGCAGAAAAAAAATTAGGTTGAGGCACTGAGAAAAGAAACTATCACTTTCTAAAACTACCCAAGATTGCTAAGCATTTGCATATATGAAAAGGGGCACAGGGGAAAGTATATTTCATCAGTAAAATATTTACATTAATTTCTATTAAGGTATTATTTATCAAATATGAAATCATATAAGACAGTTTCTAATGCCAAAAAGAGGCTGTAATAGAAGGTAATAGAAAGGAAATTGAGGAGAGAGTGGTAAAATGTGAGCGTCCTTAAGCAGGGTAGCAGCAATTGTAGATCAGAGTGTGTTGTGGGGTCTAAAACGTCTAACTGAAAGCATGGAATTTGTTTCCCAGACAATCCTGAATTACAGAGAGAACTGGCCGGATACCCTGAATCTTTGCAGATCATCACAGTTTACCCTTTCGGGTTCTATCCCTGGGAACATCTATTTCTTGTCTTCAGCTGTCAGGAATTATGTATGTGCCTGTTCTTCTTTCTTACCACAAGAGGGAGCCCCAGCACAATCAGGGTATCGTTCTCCTGCTCTCTCCAAGAGGTAACAAAATGACTTTTATTACCTGTTAACGATATTGGCGTAAATGCCTCCAAGCAGAAACGAATGTGATCAATCAATTGTTCCAAACAAGCTTTGGAAACTGCCCTCCACCTCAAGGTGCTCAAGTTTTTCACACACATCTATGTGTGTATAGAGTGTGACTATTATGTTTATTCTCTTCTACCTATTTTAATGCCAGAATTTGCAAATCATTTGAAAGGTTTTATTTAGATGAAGATAATAAAGATAACTTCTGAGCATCAAGATACTTGATGTTTTAACTAATGACTTTAATCACATGGTGCTCACTGGGTTGATTTATACATGAATTAAAAGCAATCCGTAATTTATCTTCCACTCCCCTGCCCCCCCCTTTTTTTTCTTTTTTTTTTTTTTTGCCATAAAGGACTGCCCCAAATAAGAAGTCCTCTGATGCAGATTGCTGAAGACGATTTAGTGATGGTGAGCAAGCAGCTTAATGAAGTGAACACTCCTTATTAACCTTTGACCAAAGTCACACCTGTACCTGTCCCTTGTTTCAGCTCTTACACACTTTAAAGGCAGCAGCCAAGTTCAGTTCTAATTTGCCTCTGAAGAAGTCAGTGCAAGCCCATTTAGAAAAGGGATTATTCTTCAATTTGTAGGCAATGAGGTAGGCTCTTACATGGGGTCCCCGAAGGCATCAATCAGATCATAGCACTTGTCCCAGAGGGGAGCTTTATGCCCAGATCAATACAGGAGCTCACTCTCTATGGCATTTCTACAAAGCTGTGTAAGGTGTCTTAAAATCAAATGCAGCTACAGCCATGAGGGAGAAAAGAGAGAACATACCATCTGACCCACAGAAGTGTCCCAAAGATGGTCCTTGAACTGCAGGTATGTGAAGTTCCACTCTGTCCAGGAGTGCAGGGTAGAACTGGGGTGGGGACAGAAGGGCCAGCTCCCCCCAGGCCACCGTGCTCCAGGCAGAGCCCTAGGAGTCCAGAAATTCTAAATTTGAACCTTGCCTTCCAGGACATTGTGAAGAAATATTTCACAGGTAGGAGGATAGGAATATATTTTATTTAAGAATGTGTCAATGTGATGTATAAGCTTCATAAATTTAGGCACATGGAATTTTCTCCTGACCCCCACCAAGGCTGGAGTGGATTTGTTCCCTTTCCTCCTTACTCTGCTTCGCAATCAAAGGCATGCATTAGTTTGGT